ATATTCAAAGTCGTTTCTCAGATGTTTGCGTTTTGTCTCGTCTTCAAAAACCGTCTCTGAAACACTCTATTATTTCCTGAAATATGTTAAAAACAAGTTCCAAGCTCCGATGTGCTATTCTGCCGTGCTAAGTAAAAACCCCATATAAACATTCAAGAGTTATCAAATTTCTTCCAATAAAATGTTTATTATTGAGAAAAGTCATTAATAATTTTCTTTGGAATTTTCAGATAATGTAGATTTAATCGCAAAAATTATCTGAAAAATTGGAAGAAAAATATTCGTAAGTTCACAAGGAAATTAATGTTTTTTCCAAGAAAATTCGGCAACGCCAGAAGGTTCATACGCCGTTTTTCTTTATTAGCATGAAATTTTCCATGAAATTTTCAGATAACGTAGATTATATCGCAAACAAAATTATCTAAAAAATTGGAAGACAAATATTCGTAAGTTCACAAGGAAATCCATGTTTTGTCTAAGAAAATTTGGCAACGCCAGAAGGTTCATACGGCGTTTTCCCTTAGCATGGCAGTATTAAGGACTGGAGATGCTTCACCGCGAAATATAAATTTGCCAATGTCTGCTCGGGATGGTTTCGTATCCAGTCGGATCTGATCCAGATCATTGTCTCGAGACTGTGCGCATTCGCCAGTCACAGGTCAATGCTTCCGCAGGCCAGAGACCCACCGAAGCCAGTAATCGCTCCAACAATCCTCGCTCCTTTGACGTAAGGGTGTATATCAATTTCCTCGTGAACCCTGATCTCCATATAACTCCATAATTTCCGTGGCTCGAGTGGAAATAAGATACGGCCCTACTTTAGAGAAGCAACTTCAACAGTCGCTAGAGCCGGAAAAACTCCGAGGAAAATTGATACACAGAACAATCGCTATTAAACAATTTTCCCCTCCGCGTGGGTGTAATGGGTCCTGGATGCAAAGAATTTTAAAACACCTGCAAAGCGTTCGATGAATAGCACCACCTCCTTTCAATGATAAAACCATTCACCCCCTTCACTGCCGTGCTAAGGAAGAACGCCGCTCGAGCCATCAGGCATTGCCAAATTTCCTCCGATAAAATACGAATTTTCAAGAAAACTATTGGATTTTTCTCCCCAAAATTTTCAGACAACTTTTTACACACTTTAATCTAAAATATTTCAAAATTTTAAGAAAAACTATACACAACTTTCCTGTGAAACGCTTTTTTTATCTGTGGAAATTTGGCAACTCTCGAATGCACCTACGGCATTCTTCCTTATAGCTTGGCAGTTCACGACGCGAGTATGCGGAAAATGTATTGTGTATTGCCACCTTGTGAGGTTAGACCACGTTTTCCCCGTCTCACTTCGTTTCGCGAAAAATAGCGGGAGATGTTGAATTTACGCTCAACCGACGAGTGTTGGGGATACGAGACAGGTGTACGCACTGCCGAGTGATTACACATCCTTTTGAAACGATTTGTGCATTATTTCGAACAAAGCGCAAATCGTTGGGTTTTGCACAAGCGACATGATTCAGCTTTTATATTTTCGTCTTTGATTCCCGTAGATGAGACTGAATCAAGATTGGAAACACTACACACAATGGGAGATGAGTGTCACTCAAAAATTTAAGGATGATTTCGATCGCCAAAGTGCACTGGAAAAAAAAGTCGCTTGGATCTAGAGTCCAGACTCTTAATAACATTGACAAGAAAAAATACTCTTGATTCAATCCGACTTTTTCTTGAATTGAAGAGCCAAGCGCCATTCTTGTTTTACACGGAATTCCTTTGGAATCAAGCAAAAAGATTAATCAAGATTATTTTTTCTTGTCAATGTTTTTTAGAGTCTGGACTCTAGATCCAAGCGCCCTTTTTCCAGTGTGCGCGAAACCACGTATCTCCGTTTGTGACATTGTAGACTTCCTGTCATACTTAATTTTTTCCTTGAAAAATTGGTCAACGTAATTTTTAACGGGAATATATAAAACGGGATTTATATTTTCAACGGCCTATAGCGAATCGCATTTTATGAAGAAGAATGTACCCGCATGTTTGCAGATCGGAAAATTTGGTACTTTTAGGCTTTTTTCTCTAGACTTAAACTTAAATTTTTTTAATTTTTTAAGTTTAAGTCTCAAGGATTTTTTTAAGTTTAAGTCGTAAATTTTTAATGTAAAACGCTTCATCGTGGCCTCTGATATCTACGTATGGAAGTAAGATGGGCAAGTATCATGGATATATAAAAGGTAAGCGACATTTTTAGTCATTTTGGTAAATATTGTCTCCCAAAGGAATTAGTAAAAAAGTGGTAAAAATAAAGCGCTTCCGGCAATTCAGAGTCGTTGCAATTGACTTACGCCTTGGCGCACGAAAATAAAAAAAAAAAATCAAATCAAGTTAGAAAAGATGTAGGAAATTTTCGATTTGACCAATTACTATTCCTATGTACAATTTTACGAGGTACAACATGACCAGACTTGTCTTGACCTGAATCTTGATGCAAAATCTGTTCCTTAGTATAAAGACGCTCTCTTTGTTTCGGCCAAAGAAAGAGTATCAAAAGGCAAATTTCTGCGCGCATTCAAAAATAAACTAGGTGTATAATCAGAGTTGCAAAAAGTGCATGAGCCCTGCTAGTCAAAATGGGAATTTTTAAAAGCTCCTCCATTTCAGTCTCAATCGTGAGGGTTTTAATTTTGAACTTGGGGATTGATTTATTAAAAATTTATTGGCATCATTGTATCACATGCAAAGTGTTACTGAGGAACGATCTATTTAATAAAGGTCTGCAACTTATTACAATCAGCACAGGTTGCAATAAATTACAATTACATGGTAAAATAATCGCTACCGTATCGGTGTGCCATGTATGTTGCCTATTCACTAATTGAAGGGGTCTTTTTGTTGAAATTTATCGCAATAAAATTTGGATTAGTTGAATTTTTTTCCATTGAAGATTGCCTACCTCTCTCACACATGGAGTTCATTTTACTGACCGTTTAAACTCGGCATTTACTAACCAGATCATGTGAAAATATGGCATTTAATGGTTAAAATTGCAATTTCATCGCAATGAATTTCATAATTATTTCAGTATTTATGCTGCATTGTGCTGCTTAGGAGTCAGGCGCTGAAATTGAAATTTCTCGGGAGCTGCAAAAGAGGACTGAAAGAATGAATCAATTTAATAACGTACAGCATAACATAGAGAATGTCAATGTATTTATAACATCGGGTCATGGATGAAATTAATCAAAAATTATAATTACAAATATTTACAAAATATGTTGTAGTTGATTCCTGTAGTTATCCACAAATAAATAGTCATATTTACATTCAAAGCAGTATTTACATAGAGTAAGATTAGAATTGGTTTGAAAATGACTAAGTTTTTAGTCCATCATTGATAAGTAAAATTTTCCGTAAAGAATAAAATGTCATATAAAGTCATTGTTCGTGAGTGTTGTGATGACTCTTTTTTTTAGAGAATAAAATTTTGGGTTTAAAAATGTCATGCTATTGAGCCACCTCCATCTCATACAATTTATGAAGACAGTGAATATTATTATGATGATCTCCAGAACGTCAAAAAATGAAGAGGCTATGGAAGTCGAAAATTTGTTATTTTGTTATTACTGAACACTAAAAAGGGACTGCAATAAAATATTTTATAAAAAACCGATGAGAATGAAACTAGTTTAGCGACTATTTAAATTAGTTTCACTTTATGAAAGATGATAAAAAAATGATCGAAACCTAAGAAATCTCACTGTTAAAAAGCTGATAACGTGGTAAAAAAGTGATCTTTGGTAAGTTTGCTAAATATGACGATATTTAATTAGGAAAATAAATAAACTCATTTATGGATACACTCTAAATTTTTAAATTGGTTTGCTATCAAACTTTTGATGATAGCTAGAAAAAGACATACCTAAATATAGGAACTTTAAAAGAATGGGAGCATTCATTTTAGCCGAAACATTTTGCCAAGAAAGCAGTCGGAAAGTTTCCGAATAGTTAGGTTTCAAAAATTTGAACACCCCCCCCCTCCTCCAAAACTAACATCAGTTTACCTAAAAATCAACTTTTGAAGAAAGATCAATGAAACGTAAAGTACGCTTTTGGGTTTTCAAACCAAGATTTCCAAAAGTCTAACAAACTACAGGTTTGCGTCCGATGTTCAAACACCCATTCACGTAGAGAAAGAGTAAATGCAGGACTACCGGATTCCTGGCTATATTGACTTGAAATCTAAGTAATCTAGTAACCTTCGAGCATAAGACGTGGAAAATTATTATGAAATGCTCGATTAGTAAGGTCTATCAGAATTATAATCAACACGGCCAAAAGTTCAGGGCTGCACATCAAACCTCCTGAAGTTCGAACGTAGCCAGGAATCTAGTATCCACTATTTTTCTTCCAAATTCATTCAAAGCTTCGATGGCTGAAGTGCGAAAGCACGTAAGTCCATTGCAATGCTTCAAAATCTCTGCTCTAATTTTATTTTTCCGAGGACAAACAAGTCAACGGTATAGCTTGACATTTCTACGGAATATTCTTCGAATAGAGAAGAAAAATCAAGGAGGTTTTCAAGAAATTAAGTTAACCAGTTTTCCGAAGAAAAAATAAAATATGATAGGAAGTCTGGAACGGAGATACGTGGTTTTACACTTCGGCCATCGGCTTGTTCCTAACATGTAAACGCATGTTCTGTGACTCGCTTTCGAATATACGTCCTTACACAAATTTTCCTTAATATGGAATGAATGATCCTCTGAACCAAAAGAAAAAAAGAGGAAAAGCTGACCTGCCGTGTTAGGGGAAAACGCAGTATAAACCTTCATGCGTTGCCAAATTTCTTCTGATAAAACACGAATTTCTTGGTAAACTTCTCAATTTTTCATGTAATTTTGTTTGCACTTTCTTATAAAGTTCCTGAAAATATCAAGGAGAAAAATTCATATTTTTCCACAAACATGAACATTTTATGGGAGGAAATCTGACAACTCTCGAATGTTCATACGGCGTTTTTCCTAAACACGACAACAATACAGTTAACACTTTTCTTACAAAGAAAACCTCATCGAAATTCCGTCGTAAGGCAGTCATTTTATCATGAACGGGCCACGTGTGACACCGGCCGACACTTCGACGTTCACTTCACACGGTCCGTTTAAGGCACTCCGGGGGTTTGAGTCCGCGGTCTTGGCTTTTATGACACTTTCAACGGGAGAAAGAACTCGTAAAAATGCACAGAGATATTTCACGTCCGCAGCTGGTACGAGCACGCTTAGAAGTCCACAATGTCGCGAATCCATTACACTCTCCGTCACCTGACTTTTGGTCGAATTTCTTCCTTTGACCGTTTCTCTCATCTTAATGATCGCACCGGAAGTCGTAAGATTGGACCAAATGCAGTTAGCAGCCATAATATTCAAAATTATCAGTATATTGCTATCCGAGGCTCACGCTGAACTACTAAATACTGGCACAGTTAATATTGTGGCCGAAAGCTTCGTTGAAATCGCCACACTGTTCTTTGATCCCAATTTTAAACTTGTGGTTCTTATCACAGTGCTTTTGCAGGATCTAATGCTTCTTCTTGTAGCCGTACTTCTTGCCCTCCTTGTGCCCGGACTTCTTGCTGTAGTCGTTGTGGTGCGAATGGTACTCGTCGTGGCCCTTCTTGTACTTGTGGCCCTTGTGGTGCTTGTCGTAGTGGCCCTTATCGTGGTGGCCCTTCTTCCCGTAGTGGTCGTCGTGGTAGGCCGACTTGTGGTGTCCGCCCTTCTTGTGCTTGCCGGCCTTCTTCCCGTGCTTCGAGTGATGCGCGCCGTGCTTCGAGTGATGTCCGCCCTTGTGGAAGTCGTCGTAGAACTTGTGCTCCTTGTGGTACTCGTCCTTGTGGAACTTGTTGTGGTAGCCCTTCGTCTTGTGGCCCTTCTTGTGCCCGCCCGACTCCCCGTACTTGGCGCCCTTGTGCCCCTTCTCGCCCTTGTGGTGCGCCCCGTACTTCTTGCCGGAGTCGTGATGTTTCTTCTTGTGCCCGCTCTCTTTCTTGTAGAAACCGGAGTGTTCCTCCTTGCCGTGTTTCTCGTGCTCGCCTTTATCGTGGTGGTGCTTCTTCTTGTAGCCCTTGTCACTCTTCTTGCCGTGCTTCGAGTGGTGTTCCTTCTTGTACTTCTTGCCGCCTCCCTTTTTGTACTTCTTGGACTTGGACTTCTTGTGGGAGGCGGCGGTCTCTAGGTCGTGGGGCTGGGTGTCGCGCCTAGAGACGGCGTGCTGAAAGGGGACGCCTTTGAGGTCGGAGAAGTGCCGGAAGTTGGAGGTGGGCTGGACGAAGCGCGAGAGGTCATGGTTGCTGCGGGGGTTGCGGCTGTGGATGGTGTAGTTCTTGAGCGTCCCTTCGAGGCTGTCCCGTTTGACCCGCTCGAGGGTCGAGGGACGGATCTCGTGGCAGATGACGGCGCATTTCCACAGGTCGCAGTAGTTGACGAAAAACAGAGCCACGCACACTGACCAGCGAATGGCGTGCTCGGCACGAGCGGCCATTATTCGAACTGGTTACGGCAACCGCTAGCCACCTATATTTATAATAATCGGTGTTTTGAAGACACGGCTGATCGGAGAGCTAGAACTTGTGACACGCTTTCTCGCTGGCGGCGCGGCGCCCCGCCGACGCGCTGCCGATTAGGCGGGCATTAATTGAATTTTCCAGCATTTCAATACATTTTTCGCGGGAATTTGGCAAGTGGACGAAGGACTCGGCCACCGGCTCTCTGCTGGCTCTGCATTGAGCATGTTCGCGCTTAAATCGCCCAAATCGGAGGCGCCTAATTAACTCCTGCCCCCTCTTTGCTCATGACGTAATTCGGTTAAAATCCCCGTTTTTCTCCCGTGTTACTCCTTTTGTTCTGCCGGTTATTTGTCTTTCTTTCCCAGTGCCTTATTTTCTCACAGTCACCTTGGGCTCTTCGATACTTGATGACTGTCCGATAATGGTCATAATGTAGAGTAGATTGAGAGCGGTGCTGGAGAGGTTGTTTTTGCTTCTTTTTAATTCCGATAGAGGTATTTTATAATAAGCTAACCTGAAATAATGCTTGTTTTCTTCATGCAGTCGCCGACCTGCGTACCCGTTTCAGTCCAATTTTGAAGTGGATGCAGATTCTGATTCAAAAACTCATTTATGTAGCTCCGTAAGCTTTGATTGAACCGGTAGATTATGCTATTGTGCCGTGCTAAGGAAGAACGTGCGTATGAACATTCGAGAGTTTCCAAATTTCCCTTAATAAAACATGTATTTTTCACAACATTGATGTATTGTAATTTGGAGGTGTCTGAAAGATTAATTTCATTGTTGCGTGGAAGCTCTAAAGTCAATTCAAAAAAGAATATAATCGGTTTTTAACTGAAAAATTTATAGGAGGAGAGGAGCTATGACAAAATGACCTGTAGGTCGATTGTTGAATCGTTATCGAATGACCTTGATTGATATATATCATTGTGAAGATAGGGAGTTATCGATCAAACTCATGTGGTAACGATTCAACAATCGACCCGCTGATCTGCTGAAGTATATATACGTGCATTTAAATTAGTATCGTGGCGTGCTTTAAAATATATCGATTGATCTGCCATTGAAACCATTGGAAAATGATCGATAAGCAGTGCGTTCGCGACTAACTCCTCAATAATCGATTCTTTATCATAGCTTCAAGTGAGGAAATGTCGATAGTCGATCACTCACGCCTCGCCTCTGTTTTAAATGAGAAATACTGCCGGATGGCGCACAAGACGAGATTTTTTTCTCAATTTCATACCTATTTTATTACAGTTTCCCAAATTAGCGAAAAATTAGAACATAATGCTGCGTAAACAGCTCAATATACACTTTTTCAGATGAAGGAATAAATTTATTCGGGCCAATATTCTCCATTGCGAATTTCCTTCTTTACCCGGCATTTTTCTCTTTTTTCTTGAGGTAGATTTGCTGCGTATAGTAGGCAAGCGCGGCCGGTCGGGCTGGTGGTTGGATCCTGATGAGCATCCCTTTTCCGACGCGCGGCAAGTGCGACTGCTTCGGCGGTCGGTGGTGATGTCCCTGAAATCTCGGGCGGGCGGCGCGGCGGGGCGCGAAATCCAGTTTCATGCTCGGCGCCTGGAAAATTAGCTCGGATCCTCGTCCGGTGCCCGTTGATCGCGACGCCCAACGCCGGAGACACCGGATGAGCCCAGATTTCGGCGCGAGGCAAAATAATTCGGTGACCGTTGTTTTGCGTCTTGTTCCAAGATTTATCATACTCTACGGGAAGGTGGCCGGACACTTCACCCAATTTTTTTTGGTCCAAAGTTTGTTTGGTTCATTTTTAAATTTGTCCAATAGTTTTTTTGAATGTTTGTTGTTGTTTTTTGAATCAACAGTTTACTTAGTCCAGTTACAAGCAATGATATAAGTTCTGAGATTTCGCCAAATAATGAAATTTAACCCTTAGATACCCAAACTGGGTCAAACTGACTCCAGGATAGCAGAAAACACGTGCCGCGTTTTATGTGGCCGGTACATCCGAACTTAGATGTATAGGTCTGCAAATACATCTTAAAAAATAATGAATCAAATTTAAGAAAAAAGGGTAAAAATCAATATCAGCACAGCCGAAGGTAGGAGAGACCTTTTGGGACTGGTTCTTTTAACTTTTCCCCGAACCAGAACGACAGGTCATTAGCAGCCTAGAGCGGAGCATCGCAAACTCACGCCTCACGCCATAGCGCCTCCAATTTTTCAGATATGCAACACGGAGATCCGTCAAGCACGAATAGTTGTATCCCTGCGCCGTCATTAACGCGCAACCTTTCCCTTGCTCTATTTCCACGTTTTGTGTGTTCCGCCTGTCTTATTTGTAGTGGCGCTTCAAGGGCTACGTGAGCAAAACAGCTCAAGATATGAGAGATGTAAATGGGCTTTTTTTTTAAACTTTTCTCCCAAATCTGGCCGACACCTCATTGGCAGAATAATGCGGAGCATTGCGAGTTCGGACCTCGCGTCATCGTGCCTTCAATTTTGCAGATACAACACGGACATACCCTTCAAGCATAAACAGTTGTATCTCTGCGCCGTCATCAAAGTGAGTCCTTTCTCTCACTCAATCTCCATGTTGTGCTTGTTCCGTTTATCTTATTTGTAGCAGTGCTTAAAGAGCTATGTGGGCAAAACAGCTTAAGTATAATTTTGATTTTTGTTGGCCAATTTAGGTATCGGGTAAAAAAAAATGGGTGTAGTGTCTAGCTACCTACGGGAAAATAGGATCCAGTTACGAAGAAGTTAGGATAATGCTATTCAATCTACTGCTATAGGAGAATTGTCTCACAAATGGACTATATTATTCAATTCGAAACTACTACAATTTTTGACTCGTCTGTAAAAGAAAAACATACATATCCATAAGGAAACTAGTGACACATACGTTGTTTTTAAAGTGAGGCAGAAATTGTAGTTCCAAATTGCGAAATGTAGTCCAAATGGTTCATCCGTTATTCCACTGATTGTGCTGAGCAACAAGAGAGCCTACACGTAATAGTCGCTTTACTTGCATGCTTTTATTTACGATTATTAGTAGAGTTTTATGTAAGATTTTATCATTAGAAACGACAATGATTCCAACAAACTCTACAAAACTTCAAAATCATAAGTTGAAAACCGCAGACGCCGCAAGTTTGAATGATCGCATCAAACACAGTGCGGGTGACGCGGGGCTGGCACGCACAGCGCGATACGCACACCTAGTAGCGCCTTATAAGACCGCAGGATACTTCATGCATTGCGCGCACAGCTCGGTGCGCGCATCGCCTGGTTTAGCGACGCATAGTAGCGCCTTACAAGACTGCAGGATACTTCATGCATTGCGCGTACAGCTCGGTGCGCGCATCGCCATGATTAGCGACGCATAGTAGCGCCTTACAAGACTGCAGGATACTTCATGCATTGCGCGCACAGCTCGGTGCGCACATCGCCATGTTTAGCGACGCATAGTAGCGCCTTACAAGACTGCAGGATACTTCATGCATTGCGCGTACAGCTCGGTGCGCGCATCGCCATGATTACACAGTGCGGCCGGCGCGTACAGCTCGGTGCGCGCATCGCCATGATTAGCGACGCATAGTAGCGCCTTACAAGACTGCAGGATACTTCATGCATTGCGCGCACAGCTCGGTGCGCACATCGCCATCGACATAGTAGCGCCTTACAAGACTGCAGGATACTTCATGCATTGCGCGCACAGCTCGGTGCGCACATCGCCATGTTTAGCGACGCATAGTAGCGCCTTGCAAATCTGCAGGATATTTCATACATCGCATGTATACCAGGGTGCACATTCAAATCGTTAAAAAGTCGTATTTTCGGGGGGGGGGGGGGAAAGAAAAAAAAACCAGCTCGAGAAAGACAAACCTATGTTTTTGTATGAAAGGCAAGCAGAAAAATATTTTCAAATATTTGGATTTTTCTAAAATTTTCCATTCAATATATCCTCTTGTAGAGAAATAGTTATTTTAACATATCTTAATACATATTTCGCAAGCCGTTGGTCAAATTAGGAATTAGGTACATCAAATTCCAAAACAGATGATCAGATTTTGACAGCCTATGAACTTTTGTACATTAAAGACGTAACGCTCACGAGTTTTCAAGATTTCAGGGAAAACGATTCATTAGATCTGCATAGTCTTACTTGGATTCTCTTTGTTTCCTCCTCTTCAAATGCCCTTCATAAACTTAAATATTAATTTTAGAAAATCTATGTTTAATGACATGCTGTAAATTCCAACAAAAATGTTCGTTCAGGAACTAAAACCCGTTTAAAATACTACTCTTTATTACGTACTTTTACATAGATTTCTTTCTTACATGATTAATGAATTATTTTGTCTAAAATTAGCAAAAAAAATCAGAATTTCGATCAAAGTCAGAATATTTGACTAGTTGCCTGGGCATTTGATAAAGATCCTGGTTTGCCTATTTGCCTGCGACATACATACACTTGGACTATTACAACATTTAATATCTAGTCAGGATACTAGGGGGAGGTATTAACAACATGGGACAATAATACATTTTGCTTTACAATGAAAATATTTACATTTTGCAAGAACTATAGACTAATAAATTGGTGTATTTAGACTATAGTATTTTGCTTATTACTATGATTTGGACTTTTATGAGTAAAAAAAATGGAAATAATTTGCGAGAGTGATTGTTCATTTAGGTTAAGATTTCTCATACCGGTGCTAGGTCATTTTTCCTATTTTTTTTTTTTCCTACATCAGGTTTTCCTATTACTTTTTTCCTACTCGTTTTTTGTCCTATTACAGTAAGTCCTACGAGTGAGATGTCCCACTGGCTTTGTTCCTAAGGGTGTTTGTCCTAATAATTCAATAATAATTGAAACGTAAACATGAGCAGAGTAGAGGGAAATTTTTCAGAAAGAGTAAAGTTTTCTCAGCGAGCCGAATATAAGTGCGTGAACAGGAGACATTACAAGCTGAGCCTTCTATAC